GCCCCAAAGCCCCAAGCCCCAAAGCCCCAAAACCCCAAAGCCCCAAAGCCCCCAAAGCCCCAAAGCCCCAAAACCCCAAGCGAGGATAGGGCTTTGCCCCCGAGGGGGTATAAAGACCCGTTTATTGTTCTACGTTTTGTTTTCTTTTCTTTTCTTTTCTCATACTTGATATTTGATTAGCAATGCACTTCTTTCGTTAAAGAGAACCTGGCACGTAACACTTTATAGTAAGGGTATGAACTTGTAATCTTAATATTAGATATTTAACTCTATGCTTTACTACCTATGAAAGTTTCAAAATGATTGAGGCTAGGCTACGGTCTATACCTAGGGTAGATAATTCTTAGCCAACTATTCTATAGCCGCCCCGCGCTATATTATTGCATTTTAGCTATTACTCTTTATTTCCTAATTGTATATACTCCTACTAGGCTCTAGTTCTAGAAATTGGCAGGGACATTTATAATAGAGTTATATTAAAGTATACGAAATTAGAAATAAAATTAAGCAGGAATTACGTGTATATATACTCGGTACTGAGAGAAAGATTCAAAATGGTACCGGGCAAAGTGGATGCGCGCGGGAACCAACCACATCCACCAAATACCCGTATGTCACCGTATGTAAACTTGGTTGAGCCCTGAACGGCTGTCAGGACCCCAGTACTAAGAAGGCTGATGCCTGAGGTATGAGCCCTGTCATGGGGCGTGGAGCACCCATCCTGGGTGCGTGGGGGACTGTAGGCTGGATAGGAGTAATGCGTACTGCCTGCACAGCCTCCTTGGGTCATGTGACCCACAAACCTGTATATTATCCTCGCATGCTGCTTCTTTGGAGAAGCAGCTATTAGTTCCAATATACCACTGCGTATATCACTATCTCTATTTCCCGATCCTCCGTTATATACAGCATTCCCTTAGGCATTCCATACCTAGGGGTCTCACAACGGCCCTCCCCTATGGGATAATAATTATGTATACGGACTTGCCCCAGTGATTCACATTGCATCATCCATGACGAGAATAACCGAGCAGTTCTCTTTGAGAAAGATAGTAAAAATGACAGTAGAACTATAATTATCGCAAGCCACCAGGTTCCCAAGATAGCCCCTCGAGTTGAGAACAGAAGTTCAATGAAACCTGCTCATAGCTCAGCTCCAGGTTACTTACGACATCCCTCACTGCAGTTGCAGCCAAGAAGATCACATTCTTTTTTTTCTTTTCATCAGTGATCGATCCAAATTCACGAGTTCCATAGATTTACTTACTTCCTTTGCCACAAAACGGGTTTGGCTTCGATCCATCTGCGCATAGTTTCTTGCAAATTTCAGTGCCCAGGGCATCTGTTGAGCAGTGTCTCTTGCCCACTCCATGACAGCACTCCGCCATTGAAAGATGCGTTGTTGCAAGGAAAAGGAGGCAGAGTGTAAGAACTTTGGGTACACTTATGACAAACATCTTGAAAGTTTGGTCTAAGGAGGTCAGTTGGTATACAGACTGGGGAAATGCTGTGTATATACCAGTAATGAACAAGTGTACAATGTCTTGTCGAAGACGTTTTTCTCTCTTGGCTTCTGCGAAGATCAAAAGTGATATGTTTTCCTTTCATGTCAGGTAGTCTCTGCCTCTTATTGTCACTGTGTTTCCCCCTTTGGTCCCCCTTCTAGGAGATAATACCTGAAGATCCACAGCCCTCTAGGGATGATATCCTGCTAGAGTTAAAGAATGTCAAGGTCTGAATAGAGTGACATTTGCTCCGCCGAAGATGGAATAATCCCTGTGCGATTCCCAATGAGGGCATGCTCTGAATCATTGGAAGCAGAATAACTCTATCTTAGAGACCTTATTGGCATATCAAGGTATGACATGTACCTGTTCAACTTTGATAACGCAGAAGGGATGGCATTCTAAGAGTTCGCTATTTGATTGAGATCTTCAAGGAAAAATTACATACCTCGTAGTACTGGAGAGCTCTTATTTGACCAATGCTGCATGCACACCATCATGACTCTTTTGAGTGGCGTTTTACTTGCAAAACAAATCTACATAATTCATGTCTTTATCATCACTCTCCACAAGGCTTCACATCGTACTCTACGTCAGTCCGAATAATATATTTTGCTCCCTTCCTCACCCCTGTACCTTCATGTAGCAAGGCCCCATTCGACTCCCCATGTGGGAATATCGCAACAGCTCCCATCACAGGTCGCACCGGGTATCCGTTGAGGGTCCCTTCCCGCGGGGCTGGCATGAAGAATGTCGTCTCTCCGCCCTCAAACTCATCGTTGAGATATAGTAGAAATGTGTACATCGAGCTCTGCTTCTTTTCCTCAGGCGAAGAGTCGTACACGTATGTGTCATCAGAAAGAATACCGGACGGCGGCCAAGCTCCGTCAATGTGACACCGATATTCGGCTCCGGGAACATACCTGTACACACGGAAGCGACGATTGATGCCTCGGACCATGCGACCGTTGATAGAGGGTGGCACATAAGGGGAAATTCGTGCCCAAAGCATGTCGTGGAATGTGGTGTCAATGATCCAGTAAAAGTTGTGGGCTAGGATGCTGATGTCCCCATCCTCGCGAAGGGGCGCGTCCGGCAGGAAATCAACAGATTCACCGGCAGCGATGATCGCCTTGCACTCGGTGGGGGATAGGACATTGAGGGCAAGGCCAAGGCCTGGCACAGCGGGATGTGCGTGGTATGTTATGGAAGGACCGACAGGAGCCAGTGGGACGGCGTTCGGCGCGGTGGTATAGAGGATAGCCGGATGGTGGTTTGGGGGTTTGCGGAGTGGGCCAGGGGTTTGTTCGATGATGCGGAGAGCAGATGGAGACTTGGGCGCCTCATCCAAAATTGATTTGTCAAGGACTGAGGCGTAGACGGGAAGTGGCGTCGTCGAGGGGCGGAGGTCCCAGATGGACTGGAAGGCGATGGGATCGGTTGAGTCAACGGCGTTTGTGTTGGTGTCAATCGGGGTGCTGACGCGCAGGATGGCATCAAGGACGCCCAGGATTTCGTTTTCCTTCACACTGCGCTGAAGGGGGACATGATCGTGTGCTTTATGCTGCGTCGAGAGGCCGCTGACGACATCCAGATCTCGCACCCAGCGACACAATGCTCCAATCTTGGGTTGTTCCCCCCTGATCCTCATCTCTGCAAGCAAGATCTTGGCTTCAATGTATTTCTCGTCCACCAATGCACCGGTTATTCGAGCTGTCAAGTTGGCGCCCTCTCTCGAACGGTTAGCGACAGTCTTTTGAGCAGGAATAACGCAACATACCGGCAGTGTTAACACCCGTAGTGCATGTCTGGCGGAAGTCATAGACCGCGACTCGCAGATCCTTGCATGCCTTCGACTTTGTCAGGCCTGGATATTGTGCAAGCGCCGTGAGCGTCTCAATTGTAATGTCGAGTTCCTCGTCTGAGACGACGGCATTGAGATGCGTGGGCTCGAGAGGTATGCCATCGGGAGGCGGTGTTAGATTCGGTACTGCTTTCGAAATCTTTTGTGGAAGATCGATTTGTGCGTTGCGCTTACGCTTTGCCGCTTTGGACTTGGCCATAGCTTTTATGTAGATTGATACAGAGTCCACGACTTTACGAGTGCACGAGTCTGCGAGTCTTCCAATTCACGGATATTCTGCCCGAAGATTCCGACCACGGGATTGCACTCGGATTATGTAAGTCACGGAGTTTTCCAAGATTCCGCAACTTGGGACCTTCAGATTATCTTATTCGCCATACAATTCAACCTGAGGTGGTTGGTGATGCATTCTGACGTACTCACTGTTGCCCTATGCAGTTTGTAGACCTTCTTTGTGGCATTCCTTCCCTTCTCTTTGACTTCTCTGACAGACAGCTTGCCGCCAAACGTGCAGCTTGCCGTTCAGCTTGCTGCGTTGGCATTTCATTTGTACGTCTGCAGAGATGCTTCTTCTGTTTTCTGGTGGATGGAATCTGGCTGGCTTTGTGGTGCGAAGCTATATAGACAACCTTCAGGACAGTAGCTAGTTCTCCATTTTCCATCAATCCATCATCTTTCGACTTTCAGTTGATCACTCCTTCCTCTGTAGTCAGGGCCTTTCATCAGTTGGAAATCTTGCATTCTGTCTAATTGTGAATGCCTACATATAGTAATGTAATCTGTACATATGTCCCCGCACTTATTCTTCGGATTGATGGAACTTTTGCTTGGAATTGTCGACCTTCTCATGTACAGCACGCGCCTTTCGTTTCGTTTTAGTGTAACCTTCAATTCCAGCGAGCATGATATAAGACTTGCTCATCGAAACATGGGACATATCAACGCCTTGTTGCTGTAGGGCGTGGTGGAATGCTCGAAAATTGGCAGCTGGAGGCCGATAATGGCCACTGAACAGGTTAGCCTACCGTTTCGAGTAATGATAGAAGTCGATGGATGAAAGCTTTGATTGAACTCACCTAAGCGGTGTCAGGCTTCGAAGTTGGCCATGTTTGATCTTAATCGTTCCAGCTGCTGCGATACGGGCACCTCGAAGAAAAGATGAATGCTGAAAGGCACCTGATTTCTTTATGCCGATGTATAGACGAAAAGAGGTATCTGCAACCTAAGGTAAATTTGGTTTAGTCTGCATCTAACAACCACAGATCCAAACCTGACTCACGAATAGCCAGATACCTTCTTTCTCTGAGGACTTGCCCCAGAGTCGCTTAAATGCAGCAGCGGGGCTTGCGTGCACCACTTTTTTCATCGTCTTGGCAGTGTACTCCTCATCGGTGAAATGCTTCGGGTCTTGATTTGAGAGGACATTGTCAGGGCTGTGTCTTCTAGACGTTGTTGATATTGTTGATGATGAACATGATGAACATGATGCTGATGGTGACAAGTCCCAGGTGGAATCTGGTAGAACTGTCGAGTTTCCGTTGAATTGAGGCACATCATCCTCGATTCCCACAATCCCTTGGAGACTATCTTTAAAACGTGCAGTGTTTGTCCACACTGGTTCATTGTTTTTGGCCCAGCGGAAACGTCCAGTCTCGTCAACTATCACCATGTAATTCAAACGTTCCTCGCGATTGAGATAGCGGACTTGTTCTTTCTCAAGTTTTTCTCGTGGACACTGTGAAAGCTCAATATTTTTCCCATCACCGTAGTCCAGCCAATAGAAGAAGTTTTCGTTCGATGATGAATTCCGCCAACACGTGTGGTACGAGCGCAGATTGCTTCCGTGTCGATGTTTGAGATCAACCATTTCGAGAAAGTATTGAAGATCCATCATCTTCGGCTTAGCTCCAGTAATCTTTGTGTTATGTTCTGATCGATTCACCGTAGAAGGCGAGACTTCCGGAAAACGGTCGTCGCCGCCGACGCGCCTAGCAACACTAACCACTCGTTGCCAGTTCCGGCGAGCTTGATTGGAGCCATCATCATCGCTGGGGGCCACGCTCGGCTCGGGTTGATGGAGTTGGTGCCACTGGGCTTCTCGAAAGGCCTGGAGGGACCAAACAAACAAGATCAGAATTGATCGGTTTCGCGCAAAATACACGTGTCACACACGTACCTCAATCCATCTAGTGGAAGCAGCCAAGCGCAGTCCACGCAGCTCTCGTCGCGTTCGATAACCACGATATATTCTCTACCGATGGTCAGCGGACATCAACAACACCGGGATTCCTCGTGTACCTGAACCGTTCGCGCCGCTTGTTCCTTATCGATGACGTCATGTGAAAGAGTCGAAGTCTCCAGAATTTTGGTCATGGACAGAAGTCAAGAGAATGCAAAGGAGAAAGAAACCCAACTATCGAGGAGTCAAGGAAATAAAGATGAGTCTCAGCTGGCCCGGCGGGGAAAGGTCATCTTTGTCATCTTTGTCATCTCTCGTTTTCCAAAAGAGAACCTCAACATCTCCGACTTGTTTCATTACAAGAATTCTCAAGAATTACCAAATAGAAGAGAATTGGAGAGCTGAATAGACCCCTCATGACGAATTTTCCCTTCTCCTCCTACAAAGAAACGATCGGTATCGATCCCGAGACTAAACAGGAAATTATTTCCCCATTCAGGACCCGAACCCCCCGCATTGGCAATCTATATCGTTCTTAGATACTACGATAATACGCCGGTTACCCCTCGTGAGGAGATGTGAGGAGCATTGATGTTGGAGCTTACCTTACTTATAAATGGAGTCGACATTCCCTCTCAACTCTTCCATTAACCTCGATTATACCCATTCACTTCACTCTTCTCACTATGGCACCCTCTCTCCACCCTCTTATCGACAATGGCATCACACCAGGCTCTAGTAGCTTCTCCGGAGGGAAGCTGCACTGCCACTGCGCCTCCGACCAGGTCGAGATCACCCTGAATAGCAATGTTGCCCACAACCACGCCTGTGGCTGCTCCAAGTGTTGGAAGCCATCCGGTTCTCTCTTCTCGGTGGTTGGCGTTGTACCGCGAGACGCCGTCTCGGTGACAGCCAATGCCTCGAAGCTTTCGATTGTGGACAAGGATGCTACCATTCAACGCAATGCCTGCAAGGACTGCGGTGTTCACCTCTTCGGGCGTATCGAGAAGGACCATCCTTTCAAGGGTCTCGACTTTGTACACGTGGAGTTGTCCGATGAAACAGGCTGGCAGGAACCACAATTCGCCGGGTTCGTCTCATCCATTATTGAACAGGGTTTCCACCCCAAAGAGATGGATGAAGTGAGAGCTAAATTCAAGGCCGTTGGACTGGAGACATACGACGTGCTGTCGCCGGCGCTGATGGATCTGATCTCCACTTTTACGGCGCAGAAGTCCGGTATCAGATTTGCCAATTTGTGATTTAGCGAAAGTGTTGTGTCCTTTGCATGTACTAGAAAGGTGGGAGTTGGTAGAGGTGCGGAGTTTGAATTCGGGGATTATGGAAAAATGAGATAATGTACATGACAAGCACTATGTTATAGTGAAGATTGGCTCATTTAGTAGAATCCTGTAGAAGTTATATTTCCTCTCATCTCCTATTCAACATCAACATCGAAATATCGTATCTATGCTGACTTCAGCACTTGATCTTCACCCCTTGATTACTCTCTCCCCTTTCTCGTCACTTCGCTGTTTCTCGGCGGATTCTGAACATCCTCGGTTTCCCCGCGCACCTGGGTTTTTCAAAAAGCCGAAAGGTTGTTGACTCGATTGCTGCCTCTTCAAGCGAGGAGAGCGTCACGCTGCATCCCACGCGTGCGACCGGGTTTCTTCAAACCCAGTATACATATCTAGTCGAGTTCCAGCGAACGGTGCGCGAAGCCATTTCCAAAATATGTTTAGATTTCCCGCATCATTACTGGGCCCAGATAGACGAGTTGCATCAATTTCCGACCGAACTCTATGAGATGTGAGCAAGGGCTGGTTACGTATTCCTGCTACAACGATATGGAGGCTCGGAGCTTGATTTAGACTATTGCGGAGTCTGGAGACATAAACGGTGCCTCGTCTATCCGTATGAATATCTTTGGCCTTGAGCCAATTACCAGGTTTGGGACCGAGTAGAACGAACGTTCACTCCGCTCATTGCTCCTCGCCACACATCATTTGGAAAGGAATATTTTCTTTTGTCTTCTGCATTGCCTTGCCCTCCTATTACTACACTGAGAAGAGCAGGTACCAAACAAGTATTGGAGCATCACCATATGTTCCTATCCATTCAGCATTTTATTTTATTATTAGGGAATCATTCTCGTTGCAGTCATGCTTTAGTATATGTCAATGGTCTTTTATCGGGAATTTGAATTCTTGAACTGACGCGTGTTCTCGAAGTTTCTAGTATTGATGTAGTGCAAGTGATCAATGCTTGACATTCTGTACACAGATTTTCGCTAGTTAAGGGCGTTTGTTCTTGGCTATCTTTCTTCGGTGATATGGTACTCACCAGGGCATGAAAAGATCCAAGAAATAGATCCATTGATCATATACGCAAAATATCTCAGGTCAGTCCTCGACCATGATCAATCCATATGTACTGTGAGTATGTCTGACTTCAATCCAGGATACTGCGCTATTGGTCCCTACTCCCATCGTGTATGAATGCTTGCGAACATGCGAATTTTTTGGGGCACAGAGCATCCAAGTATTGTCCTCTGTCGAGCTTTCAAGACAAAGGACGGCCACCTGGTCTGAGCGCTACAACCAACCACCAGTTTCAAATTCTTTGTGTGTTGAGGCTATCAGAGCTGGCGACTGACCCACGGTTTGTTGATCACAGCTCTCGTGTCCAAAATCGGGCCGAATTAAAAGAGATATTTGCACCAATCATCTGTGCGAAGCCGACCGTCTTTGATGATATGGAATGGGATTTTCGACGAAGGAAATAGGGGTAATGCGAGAACAGGGCATTACGCGACGATCATTAGCTTTGGAATGCTCTAGTTCCAGTTTCCTATGCAGATCTCCCGCTATTGGGAATAAGCCGGCGCTTTGCACGGAATATCTCACTGTGGTATCAATACTAGCTTGGTGGCTCATGGATGTCTCAATATGAGATGCTAGTTCGAAAGTTGCACTTTTTGATCTTTTCACCCTACTCTAGCATCATCAAAATGGATCTTCATTCATATTCATGTATCCATGTACAATCATACTAAGTGACCAAACTATATATGGCGTACATTTACCCTTTCCTTATTCTCCCAATCTCCAGCAAGGTAAAAAAATGGCAAAGATAAAAATAAATTGACATGCACCAATAATAGATTAACCGCTCGGCCTAACCCAAGCTGCAGCATTGAGTGGCTGGCGCAAACAATGCAGCAGCAAAATTGAGTGAGTCAAACCAAAGGCACTAGTTTGGCAGCCAGGAGTTGGCGTAGCTGAGTGTTGAATTACAATACTTGTGGCTAGCTGGGAGAGCTGAAGCAATTTCATGAACCCTAGTTCGTGCCAGTTGCCAAGCCAGCATGCAGGCCAAATCAAAATCCCGTCCAACATTTGATTGGTGATCTCCGAGTCAGATCATGTCAAACCGCTCTAGGTCGAGGTCGCAGCTGCCTATAGCTGTAAGTTGTCATTTTGAAGTAGACGCCCATAGTAGACTGCATTAGCAGATTTTGGCTGAGAACGAATACCTGCCTTGTTTGGTCGCCAATAATTTCCTCACGCTTCACGGGCGGTCGTAAATGGCGTTGTCTGTAGAGCTGACAGCTACGCTCTGATGCGTGGCTTGCATTAAAATGTGACAAGACAGCATATGTTAAAGTTCATTCAATGTCGATCATTAATTGCTTTGCAGGAGTCTGGGACTGCTGTTCAGCCTGTCCTACCCTCACAAGTTGTGGAGGAAATAATATAAAAGATTCACCTCGACCCGGTGCCCCCAAGTACATTCTTCCATAACTTCGAATGCACCTCTTCGGGCGATTGAGAAAAATATCTTCCAAACGAAGTATTGCTTCAACAATTTCGATAATTCCACCAGCCGATAAGATGGCATCTGAATCATCTGCGTACGAGTACTACCAGATCCAAGCCCGGTTTCCGGCCAAAGATTCCAATCCTGATGATGGCATCAACCGAAAGGTCTTTGTCCGGCAGGATATCGACGAATGGAGCGGCAAGAAGTCCAACAAAAAGCAAGTGGATCTTTTCATCCTGGCTCTGGACAATTTCCAGAAGCTGGACCCCAAAGAAAGACTATCTTACTTTCAGGTCGCCGGTAGGTTCTACTCGATGAGCTTCTGTTGATGGTATTTGACATGCATTTGACCAGGTATTCATGGACAACCGTTTGTACGATGGGACGATCCTAGCCCAGAGCCCATGCAAAATGGCTACTGCTTCCACTCTCATGTGATATTTCCCATTTGGCACCGGCCATATGTGCTTCTTTTCGAGGTAGGAGGATCTGATATCTGAGAGGAATTGTGTACTGATTTCATTCTAGCAAGTCGTGTATGACATCATGATCAAGGAAGTTATCCCTCAATTTCTGGAAGCCGATCAAGCTTCATGGCGTGAACAAGCCGAGTCGTGGCGTCTTCCCTTCTGGGACTGGGCACGAAATGGCCGTGTCCCTGACTTGGCCAAATACCCTACCATCACTGTTCCTAGGCCCGAGGGCGGATCGGTTCGAATCAACAATCCTCTGTTTCAGTTTCACATGCCCACAGACAAGCCGATGCGAAGCGAGGGCGTCGGTACCGAAAACACATGGGAAAATGACACCGAACAGGAAGAGTACAAGAACGTATGTATGATCTAGGCAATGTGAAGACAAAAGCGAGCTAACTTGATCAGTTTGGCAATGCAATTGGAACCAGCCGTTGGCCGGATGAAGAGGACCAGAATCCAACCAGTCAGGGCTGGCGTCATGGTGTTGTCAATAACCGCAAAGTGGCGGATGCCTTCAACTCTCACGATGGATACAATGACAAGAATCATGGTCCTGCTGCTGAAATGGTGTATAGGCTGCTTACTGTGCCCATGGACTACACTACGTTTGCAAGCACAAATCCAACCTCGAAAGATCAAAACGTCGACGAGGACTTGAACATAGAATATGTGAGTATGTTAATTTGATATGTCGGAGCACAGTAACTGACTGGAAATTCACCTGGATAGATCCACAACAATGTGTAAGTACTCGACCAGCCGGAAACTCGATGTCTACATCTACTTTGTGCTATTATCAGTCGCTTCAAACACTAACAGCATTGACTTAAAGCCACGGCTGGGCAGGTGCTGGCGGACATATGGGAAATGTACCAGTTGCCTCTTTTGACCCGCTGTTCTTCTTGCATCACTGGTAAGTATATGATATTCTTCGACCACGTGGGAATACAACTGTGATTAACAGTTGCTTGTAGCAATATTGATCGTCTCTTCGCAATTTGGCAAGCTCTCAACCCGGACAAGTGGATGGATAACATTCATGGCGACAATGCTACCATCCGTGATTCATTTGGCAAAGAGCATCCCGTGGACGAAAACACTCCCCTTCAGCCGTTTAGACGTGACGCTGAAGGAAATTATTGGACCCCTGAAGGAATTAGATTTCCTTCCAATCTCGGATATTCCTACCCAGAGCTGCCACGGTGGGACAGCAAGTATCACCAGGAGGACGGAACACTCAACCAAGCCCTGTTTAAGGAAAACATCATCACCATTGTTAACCGACTATATGGTGTGTCGCGTGATTTGGCATTGGACCCAAAAGCTCCGACCCCAGAGGGCGTTGAGGCAATTGACGGTGGGCTCAAAATTACCGACTTCGCCTTCAGTGTTCGATTCTTGAAGTACGTTGTCCCTGAGAAATATCTGCTGCAACAAGAATTTACATCTAATAATTTTGAATGACTTAGATACGCATTGGGAGGGCAACCTTTCTGGGTCAAATTGTATCTCGCCCAAGAGGACGGCATACAAACCCCACTGACAGACTTGATCGCTGAGGTGTACAACTTCAGCCAAAAGCCCGAGTTGGATGGCTCTTCGGTCTGCGGTAACTGCAAAAAAGGACAAACATCGCGCGTCAAGTCAACTGCTTACATCCCAATTACCCCGGTTCTCTACAAGCTTCTCAAGGGTGGACGGAAACTGAAGACGTTGACTCGCGACGAGGTCTTGGCGTACATAAGAAAGCGTGCATACTGGCGGGTATTCAAGGTAAGCATACCTAGTCACTAGCTGCCACCATTGTATGAAACTTGCTGATCTCTCGTAGAACGAGAAAGAATTACCTCGCTACGAGGTTGAGAAGCTGGAGTTGGAAATCATTGGCAGCAGCAACGACACCACGCACTTCACCAACCCCGCTACTCCGCCAGCCTTTGAGAATTTCAAGCAAGAGCCTACAATCACTGGCGGTGCTGATGGAGCGCTGGATCCAGAGCTGAAGCAGACAAAGACTGACCCACCGGCTCCCCGGTAAGTTCCGACTCCTATAAATGAGGGATAGATATGGAAATATGATCGCTAACTTCAGTCAGACCAAAACGACCAAGAGCGAATCTGCCACTTCACAGCAGTCTTAAATTCCAGCAGACTCTCAAGGCCGACAGTGTCATTCTCCTCGAGTCGTCGAGCGTGGATCTTGTCCAATCCAATGGCATCGACATGACACAAATTTCAATCATGGATGCAGAGAATGATATCATCTTCCATCTCTCTATTCGCCGAGCTCAGGATGAAATCATTTTCAATTCCAAACTCGGTGGATCATGGGGCGAGGAGGAGCGGGTCGATATTGACGATCGATTCGAAAGTGAGGATGGTGCGACAATTTTGATCCACGACCAAGGTGAAGGCTTCGAAGTCTCTATCAATTGGGTCCATGCAATTTGGTTTGGCAAACGTGCCAAGGGCAGGACACCACAGTCAATTAGTTATGATCTTGGTGACAAGGAGGGGACTTCCGCTTTGTCCGAGTATCTCGAAGTGCGCACCTACCCTTCGGTGAAAGCTTTGTTCCTTCAAAAGCATTCTCATGAGGAGGAGAAGTAGCCACCTGTCGTTGATATGTAGTTTAATAGGGGTATAGGAAAGATGGCGATGTTAATTTGATCATATTTATGGGACCGTGGACATACATATCCTCAAGTCAGGCCTGAACCGACATGAATACAAGTATATGGCAGCATCTTGTAGTTTGAAATAAGACGTTGTATTCTTAGACAACTAATTATTCTCCGCAATCACAATCTCTGGTCGAGTCAAGGCCAGTAATAGATCCCATAATCAACATCCTTCTTTAGTTTGTCATTCACGCGCAGATATCCAGACTTTTCCAGAGTCTCAAGTTTCTGCGTAATAAGTTCGGCCACAATTCCCCTAAACAAAATGCTCCCCGGCACGTTCAAATGGGTATAATCCGCTGGGTTGAGGTTGTATGTAAAAGCATTTTCTGGCCCGATTGCATTGAGATACCAGGTGCTAGCTTTATTCAGGTCAATATAGGCAGTATATGAGCGATGAGCGGCAATGATGGTGGCCAAGGTCTCATTGACGAGACCCATGACGATACGCGGTGTCCCTGTTGAGTTATCGTAGTTGCGCCGAAATAGTGGAGTGACGAGAATCGGTGTAGCCCCAGCATTAGAGGCCTCAGCCACGAATCTTTCAAGATTCCTGGTGTATTGTGATAATGAAATGTTTGCAGCTGGCTTTTGGTTGTTGTGGCCAAATTGGATTGTGACAAGTGGATGATATTCGTCTCGAACTTGTCTCACGGTTGTTAGAACCTCGTCCCAATAACCTCCGCTCCAGAAGCTAACAAAGATTACCCGTCCACTCTCGGCCCTGTAGGCTGTTGCGGCGGACTCGGCCAACACACAATACAGGGGGCTTGTCGCATCGATGCATAACGGGGGTAGCAACTCTGGTCTTATCCTGACAAATAGCATGTACATCGATAGGGTAAAAGTTGGCCCGCCGTCGGTCCAGTGCAGATCCAATCAAAGAGCCCAGACATACCCCCAGCCCCGTCTCGAAACCCTGCTCAACTCTGCCTTCTACGGAGACGAAACAGCCTCGCAGCAAGCTCCAAACAATACTCTCTCTGCATCATCCGCACAAGCTGCCAGTCCCTCCTTCCGTGCGCCCCAGCTGAACCCGTCGTCTGTGAAAAATGGTAAGATACTGTTAGCACAGCGATTTTACTGTTAGCACGGTGGTCTAACCTAATTAGGAGAGGTGAATCTTAGAACTCCATTTTCAATATGAGTGCCATTTATTATGGTATCGCCACTGTAAAAAGCACAGCTTCACCTGGGCATATTTGATAGATCAGGTGATCTCTGAATAGCTTTATGGTGACACATCAGGTGAGCAGATTGATTAACTAATCTTTCTAAAAAAAGGCACGCAAGTATAATGCGTACAATCACTCGAGAGGCTCGAAAGAATTTGCAATGCTTCGTTCCTACGTGGTGTTTACCAGCCTTATGGCTATGACAATCACAATCATCATGACCCGTTGCCCACAAATGGCGAAGTCGAGGATCAAACGTCGAAAAAACTTCCAATTTCCGATTAAACCAGCCTTGATGACTTGAAGGAGTAGTATGGCCTTGAGCTGGAGCGTGTACTGGGTCGCCAAGTTCTCCGCCTGCCAAATCATTATTTGACCAGGTGCCGTCATTTCCAGCATGGAGAATGTAACCAAAGCGGAAGTATTCCCATAGAAAACAGGACATAAATGCAGTATCCCTTTTTGAGGTTTACTGCCAACTTGCAGGCCGTCGTCTCCAGATGGTGGCCGCCACTCTAGATTCCTCCAATGCTGCAGTGTGTGACAGATTATGCACTAAAAATATCCTCCCTCCATGGTCGAGCAGAAATGCGCACCCAATTATCGAAATTTTCATCTCGTCGAGAGGTTTCTAGGTTTCATCCCGTTACTCCTATTGCCAGTATTTGGTCGTCTTGGTCATCTCACTGCCGGACGTGCAAGATGTTCCATGGCTGATCATGTAGTTAGTAATTTCCTGGGGGCGGAAAAGAAACCTCACTTCTGATTTCAAGATCATGAGATATGCAATTGCTGCCGAGAGGAATTTCTCCATACTGGGTCGCAGGCGCGCATATACCAAAGATTCGTATTTGCAATAACTCCTTCTTTTGGGGCTCTCGTGATTTATATCAAAGTTTCAATGTATACGACTCAAAAGACAAAACCCATGCAGTAATCCAATGCACCGACAATGGGGCGCATTAGCTGAACTTGATAGGAACACTGAAGTTACGGTCAGATTTCCATCCGTCGCGAGAGGCATTCCTGAAATGACTCCATCCAGCACTGTACTTTGCATTCCCAGCCATATCAGCTTTCAGATGATTGTTAATTTTTGAATTGATGAAGTGCCTTGCAAAGAAAAAAATGTCGCGCGAATGTCTTAGTCTCTCTGTATATCAATTGCCAACGTCACAATCGCCATCCGGACAAGGTTGTAACTTTTTTCTACAGATTTCTATGAACAGGTCTTCTGTCCAAAGGAAATATATGCAAGCTCAACGTGACCTCAAGCAATGCATGATTCAGACGCGTTGTTCAGTCTCTACGGAATCTCCATTGACGGTGTCAGGGATGTCCAACTAATGGAACTTGGGACGAGAAAGGGGCCGAAAGATTTCTTGGCCAGCTTAGAAAAATGTATGGAGAAGGACAGTGCGATTTCTACAACAGAAAAAAAGGCATAGAAGTTTGCCAAAGGAAATACTCGGCGACTCTTCGATCCTGCTTTAGGAGGGCAATACGAGATATTCAATGAGCGTCCTATTCGACCGGCGATTGCCAAATATTGTGCTGGAGATATGACGTTGTCGCCAGGTCTCTGACATACATGATGATAAGCTTCGTCGACCTAAAGAGGAGTTTTGGAAGCTTCATGTCTTGGAAGCAGCCGAAGAGCGGATTAGACTTTCACGAAGTCCAAAATTCGATAGAACATCCAAATCCAACGCGTGCGGGCATTGGGATCGAGATTATGTTAAAGAAGCAAAGAATCAACGGAATGACGATGTTCTGAATAATGCATTGAATTGCAAGGATGATGATTTGTTTGAGTCTGAAGAGCATGATGAGTCTGGCTGGGAGGAAGATGGTACCAGCTGCAGGGACATTATCAATGACTGTGACGTATAGTACTATTCAGACTAAGATATAGGGCAAGCTTAGTCCGATCACGAGAGGAGACAGCGGGTCTGATCAGAGCAATCATGCCGAATGTGCTCATGATCGCTCGTAGCTCTCTTTTCTTTGAATGCCTGGGGATGCCAGAGTATAGGATATTTGCACGTACCGGTTGGCGATCAGGTTGGTTGGTTCTCGGTGGGCCATCGGTATGGTTGTGGGTCACAACTGGTTGGTAACGAGTGGATCAGTAACAATGGGGGGGGGGCACTTGGGTAAGGGCTCCCTTAGGTTCCCCAGAACTCGTTGAGGGAGATGATGAATGTTAAAGACCAGCTAGGGTATCCTAGAAATCTTGGTTGAGTGAATGCTTGCCGGCATCGAGGCTGAATAACAATGGGACAATTCGGACCCCCTGAACACATTGCCGGATGCTAATATATACCCATAACATTCTACAGACTACTGATGGGATACCGACTAGTCCTCCTATGGGTTATATGACAGGACTGTGCACCAGATCCATTCTTCTAGCGTCTATTAGTCTTATGCAGGGTACCATGGTAGCAGCATAGGTGTGTTTTCCGTGTGGTGAGCGAGCAAAAGTAGCTTTCCTCTTGCCCTCCATTAGTTTGTTATTAGCCTGCGAATATTTGTAACTTCTGGTCGACACTACCTGTAGCAATGACGCACTGGATCTGCACATCAGCTCCACCTGCACTTTTCAGCGTCTCGGGACCTTTTGATGTCTGTCCTTCAAGGGCACTAGCAGCATGTGTGAGTGTGTCTTTGACTTTTCCTGGAGCCCATTTCAAACAGGTGATGAAACCTTTATGGGCATCCCTAAGCGTCTTCACGCATTTTCCTTCTTGGCTCAAGTCCCAACATCGTAATGTCTTGTCATCCGAGACAGAGAGGAGATATCTGCCTCCGGGATGGAAAATAACGGCCTGCACCCAGTTGTCGTGACCAATCAGTGTCATAAGGCAGGTTCCGCGAGCATCCCAGAGTTTGATAGTCTTGTCCCGCGATCCAGTTGCCATGAACAAAGCCGTACTTCCCGCAGATGAGACCTTCGGCAATCCGCCCAATGGCGCAAGGTACTGATAGGAGGCCGGTGGAGCAATCGCGCAGCACACATTGAAGTTTTCATGACCATGAATGGTCACCTTATTTTCAGGGTTTCCCGAAATGTCCCATAATCGAACAGTCATGTCATCCCCAGTAGAGAGGAGAAACTTTCCATCAAGAGACGGGCAAATGTCACGCACCCAGCCAGCGTGGCCTTGTATCGTATTCACGCAATACCCATTGGTTACATCCCATAGCCTGATGTTCATGTCTTTACTTGCGCTGGCAAGCAAGCTCCCATTTGGTATGAAACGGACTGCGCTGACGATATTGTCATGTCCTTGCAACGTGCGAATATTCTTATATCCATCCGTCGGATTCCATAACTTGATGGTAAGGTCGGAGCTGCAGGACGCCAGCAGGACGCCAACGGCCCCGGGAGGGCAGCCATAGTCAAGATCACGAATCGCTCTTGTATGGCCTTTGAGTGTCGTTTCCAATTCTCCAAGCTCCCAGTCCCATATCTTAATCGTGAAATCGTCGGATCCGGAGGCAATAGAGGAATATTTGGGATGGAAAGCTATACAATTGATGGTATCGCGATGGGAACGCAATGAATAACGGGGCTGTTGAGGAAGCCAAGACTTTGAGTCTAGATTGCGTGTGAGGAGGGAGAAAGGAGTTAGACTGTCAAGTTCAGATTGCAAGGCCATGCTGCGGGACTCCAGGTCTATGATCTATAAGAAAGAAGTTAGTGCCGGCGCAGCAATATCTGTAGATGCGGAAAACAGAACTAGCGATCTGCGACGCCGACTTGCCTTTTTATGTAACCGGACAGTGGAGGTCCATTTTTTCTCTAGCAGCGTATCGTATTTTTTCAATGTCGTTGTATTGAAGTCGTGATCTGCAATACCCAATTCTTTCCTCAGTGTAGCAGCAGTCTCCGGAAAGTCATTTGCTGACAAATATGCTATCATGGATTTGTGCCTGCAAGTATGCTCAGCATCAGCCTTGGAAAATCACCAGAGCTTGTCCAGTAAGACATATACCTACAGCTCTTCAGCTTGACGAGAGGTTAATGGACGGGCCATGCTTCGTCGCTGACCATCCCTAAACCGCACAAGATTGCAATATAACTTTGAAGACACGGGTACCAATTCAAGTTTGAAAAGAAAAGGAGGCGAATGTACCGCTCGCAAGCAAGCGCGATCGGAAAGCTAAGATGTTCGACGGCTCACCGAGCTCGGTCCCTTATTCTGTGTCAGGACAATGGTGCGTTGAGGCAAAAGAAGCCCTTAGGCAGTGTTTAGGTTCAAACTGATTTGCTAATCCTCAATAACTTGGTTGAACACCTCGTTGGCTGTGGATGAAGTGTTGGGTGTGGGGAGAAAGAGATGGATGGCCGGCAAATCGTCGTCACTGCCATGGCGGTCAACCGCCCTCGGGGCGCGAGTCCTATCCTTAGGAACTTCTGAATTATTCTTAGAAATACAAGCACGCACCAGATGATCTTTTCTTGTAACCTCAGATTGTCCCGGGCTATCAGTGCTGGTCCCGTTGCGTGGGTCAGACTTCGGTCTATTGATCTGGGGACGGAAGTAGGATAGTCCGAACCCGATTTCAAGGCATCCTGACTATGTTGTACAACATACAGAATAAATTGTGAAGTGCAATTCGTACCGGCCTGTTACGCCAGCCATACAAGGAGCGAGTAAGTACTCCGTACAGTACCAACACGGTTTCAATTGGACATGTCGAATACTACATGTAGTCATTACATGAAGTTCTCAGGTTGACACCTTACGATCATGTTTGAAATCAGGTATATGGGGATGATGAATATTCCTCGGGTGCACTAGTAAAGTTGTGATCCTTTTTTTGTCAACAAATTCCATGGCACACAGGGTCTAATATTATTATTATTCGGCTTATGGCGCTAGGCGTCGATCCAACCGGGGACTATCAAGTAAGGTCGGGCTGATAGTGGTCTGAATTCCAGATATTATGCTGCTTGAAGCTTCAAGTCACCGGCCAGAAACTTCAGGCGCTTATTTCAAAAAAACAATTAGCTGCTTCAAATGCATATTACTCCCTCCACCGTCCAATCGAAAGTCTTCCTTCCGTTGATGGCCTCACATGAACTTTAACACCACAACAATCATGTAAACTAAATTTCCACTAGACACCTACTCTCTAAACCACCTAGAGGTCAAGCCCGCAAAAAAAAGAAAAGTGAAACACAAAGTATCTATCTCAACACTGGTCATAAGTTCAAAGGTTGACTCCAGTCAACAAGGACGGCCAAGCTTCAACGGGTTGACGATCGACCCGCGCCCGCGCCACCGTGGCCACTTATCTTTTTTTTCACACTACAAGAACAACACACAGCTCAGACAATCAACACCCTCAAGCGAGGCCGGAAAAATCCATGGCTCTTAATGATGACAATGTGGGCGCTGTTGGTAAAATCAAATAATGAAAAGCTACCATTGCCTCAATATAGAAGACCGTGGATTCAACAGTGAGTTAACGTTTCTTAACCGACTCACTTTCACTCACTCTCATTATAAATCTAGCATGATTTTCTCGGTGTGTATCTCGAATCATACCAAAAATCTCGCTGCAAATAGTTGCGGTAGAATGAGGACATGGGTTGCAACAGGCCTCACTTATGGTAGGCATCGTGTTCTTCAACGTTTTCTACCTAGTTGAGTACGTGGCGACAGGAGCCGAGGAGTCTATAAATTTGTCCTCCTCCCCAGCAATTCACTCTACAATGTTATCACTTGGCTGCGCAAAGGCGAGCAGGCCTTCGGTTTGAGGCACCTGATAAATATTCCCTTTGACCCTACTGGATTACTCACTGTACTGACATCTATAGATACAATGTGGACCAACAAGCTAGAAAGTGCTTGTGGGGGAGGTAAATTTTCCGCGACTAGACTGACTGCAAAGACGATGCGAAACAACCAGATCCGTGGATCCGTCCAGTCACGAAGCCCTTTCCGCGTCTTCCTTCGGAACATGTGAGTCATACATTCCTCATCAATCGACAAGCTAACGATGAACATGGAATCGTTGGAAGCGCATCAAAGTAAGCTAAACAAGCACTCCGTCAGTGCTCAGCGCAGGATCATGGCGTACACCGATTCTTACCCTGTCACTTCAAACCATGCAGCATGTCCTATGTGAGATACTGCAAACCAAGGTCGCTGGCCAAGAACGACGCATAAGTTCCAGACGTGCATTTTCCACGATAATGTGAGTGGAGTATCGCGCCTCTTGCTGCGCCTGGTCCGATGATTTGTATGTCCCAGACACAAACATCACTGACATCTCTATGCTGTTGTAGAAGCAGCCCATCGCCAACCGCGAAAATTCATGTGACGGATGACCTATTCCTGCCGAGTCAGACAATATCAAAAGGCCGACGCACCATCGTGTCTTACCCCCTCGTCCTCGCCGTCTTCACATCCTGAACGACGGAGTGTCTCAACCACTCACTGTCTACACGGAGCGGTCTTCCATTACAACTGTACAGTTTCTTGTGGTGCTATCACCCACTAAAACAAAAAATGGAGTCTTATGCGAGAATTTAAAGGCACTGGAAGGATATGCCTGAACGTAAGATAGGATACCAAGGAGGGCTACTCCGGTTGCTTTCAAGATCACGTCCATTGTTGTGTACATGGATGCAACTTTTGAGCTATTGGGATTAGAGCCATTCTGCGCAAAAGAAATGTTTTTACATAAACTTATAGCACTCACATGGGTTGATATATCCATTTCTCCCATTGGTCGGAATCTCTCAAAGCAGGAAAGTGATTTGCGGGGATTCATGAATGAAGTGACGACATCCCACCAATCATCCCAAATACAGAATTAGAATAGTGCCGTGAGGCTAGAAAAGGCTAACGTACATCCGTCATATCTCAGAGGACAGTATAGGGCATCACGCCAGGCAGATCATGAGGTTGGCTGATTCCCCCACTGGCAGAGTCCGAGCTGGATCCATCGAGTACATGTGAAATTCCAAAGCATCGCAGAACTATTGGATTGTAGAGTGGATGAGCCCGAGTCGTAGGGTGGACCTGGGGGAAACGGTGCGCAATGGCGAAAACAAAGTGGAAGAATTAATTCCACATATCTTCTGCATTGGTCAGAGTTTCATGAGCAGCTCCAGGTCTCTGACTGATGTTGCCAACCCAAGCCCCCACGAGCAGAGGCAAAAGTCTTCACTGATCTCATATTCAGACAGCCCTTGGCGGTGGATCTCGCCCAGAAGATCAGTTACATTATATTTTTCGGTCATTTCAAGTTGTTTTGCAATTGAACGTGGTAGACCTAACTGCTACCCTAAGCGACCATATATTTCCTCGGCCTGTTCTTGAATGCATCGCTCACAGGCGCAAGAGAATAGGAAGTCTTCTCGCAGCAGCTTTTGCCGTGCTTTGAAATCTACATACTTGCATAGATCAAAATAGCAAATAAAGCATTCGTCGCCTGCGGCAAGATCTTTCGAGGTAGTCAATACCATCCGCCCATTGTTGTCTGCTCTCCAGATGACCTAGGATATTTGAGTATGCTTGAGTTCTAGTATTCCCGAGGGGTAACTCACATTTGGAATGCAGGAATGGTTGAATACAGAGGCTCTTGGATAGATACCCAAGCCGTAATCCACGCCTCGTTCGATTGGGAGGTCCGGAATGGGAAATATTCCAGTGTCTCTTGGATATAGCCCGAACGAGTTAGACTCTTCTTTGCAGATGAGATCCACTAAATCATCAACGCTGAGGTCTGACTGATTATCGTGAGTTAGATATACCTCAACTAGCCTCTTCCAGTGCAAAATCTGCGTCTGAGGCCACCTCTCCCGGTTACTATGGAGGATCTCAATGGAATCCCACCCCCGCTTGAACCGGTCTTCCCAGGAATAGAGCTTTGATGGCTTGAACCCTGCCTGTAACTCAATGTACCTTCCAGCTAGAAGACGCATGACTGTCCAAAGCATTGCAAATGCATACTGGCCCTCGTTTTGACGAAGACTTTCTCCGTAGTTTTTCAACCAAGCGCATTCAAAGTCATGCCGAGCCTGGTCTGCAGTCCGACAACGATTGTCACACCAAACAACATCCCGGATGCAATTCCTTTGGCAAATCTCTCTATTTGTGTCCTGTGACACTTGTTGGCGGCATTTCAGATTACTGCAAATCGAGGCATCAGGGTGGGATGGATCCGCAGACGGGATCAAAGCATATGGTGTATCTGCCAGAATAATGGTACCGGCTGACACAAATGCCGAGACTTGTAGCAATCTTCCTTTGTGAGGATTGTAGCTTTGTGTCAGGTTTGGATGCACGTAGACATCCGCGTCTTGCTCCAGAGCATCGACAGCTGGGGGCTTGGCAGTTGTGGACTTGACTGGCTTCTGTGCAACGATCAACTGCCTGCGTTCCATCATACCCATGTCCACAGGGCCGTCTCGCTTGGTCGCTGTGATCTGCATCCCATCTTCTGCTTGAAGGAATAGGCCCGATCTTTGGAGAAGGCCATTTCCTCCAGATCGTAAAGTCTGACGGAATAGCAAAGGTCTTGGCGGATCGAAGGACCTTCCAAATCAATCACAATCTCTCGGCTGGCGAGGAGGGTTTTATCGGGAGACAGCTCTCGTTCCCGGCAGGCCAGAAGTTTTTCTTTGCCCTCAAGCCATTCCCATCCACTTTGACTGAAGTTGGATCTAATCCATGCTCCATCCACGTGGTCAATGACGAAAATTCCTCCTGGTTTCAGGACCCGAGAGGCCTCCCGGAGGGACTGTAGGTCTCCTTCATCATTACAGTGTCCAAAAGAATTTCCCAGAAGTATGACCAGATCAAAGGAACAATCCGCTGCAGGAATCTGACGAAGGTCTCCCTTCTGAAACGTGATGTTACTCTGCACGTTTTCTCCTATTGCGCGTTTTCGAGCAAGGTCAAGGAGATATGTGCTCTGATCGATGCCGTAAAAATTCACCGATGGAAAGCGCTTGGCAAGATTGATGCTATGTCGGCCTTGGCCACAGCATAGATCCAATACCTTGATCGAAGATTCTTGGGTCTTCAACAGCTGTTGCACGCTAGGTATTCCGATGATGTCGTTGCATTCGGCTTCTGTGATTGCGGGGACTTCGACACAGTCACCATCGGTGTAGAGGTACATCTCCTTGTAGGCCTTCTTCCACCAATCTTTCTCGATATGAGGAAACAATGAGGCAACACGGCCAAGACTAGGAATTGTCATTCTGAAGAATCTTGGGCAGTGAAAACAATCAGAGACAAGACTGTTCACACGGTGACTATTTATACCCATGTGTCTGTCCATGTGGATATCAGTTTTCTGCAGGGAAATATTCCCTGCGCACGGGTCTTCTCGATCTTGCGATCTTCATGGCGCTAATGATCATGCATCATGCATGCCACGTCATAGAGGGGTCGAATACGAGCTATAACATACAAAGAGCAGCATGGCAAGAAGATGGAGCTAAGCTAGCGGGGTGGACATAAATACATCTGACGAATGAAGCCCCGAGAAGGCAAACATCAACAAGAATACTCCCGGACAGATGATGGCGCTCGCTACGGGGTCATTCGGTGAAGTTGACGAGATCCCACCCCTCGTTTTTGTCTGCCATTTCACACCACTTCGATATCTGCACGTTTGAAAGATGGGGGCTTCAATAGACAGACACTGGCGCGTGCTTCTGGCAGTCTGCACATTAATGTGGGGGATTTACTTTAGTACCTCTATCGACTTTTCACCCTGGGGGAGCACAGCTGATTCGTCCAGTTTATGATCTTCCTGCCCCCCTGTCGGTGTCATTACAGGAACATTTGTCACTTTCAAGCTCTCAGTATACGTATTTCGTCTCTGCGCTTTATACAGCCTACGCGGCACCCAACACGATCCTGCCCTTTTTTTCGGGGTTCGCTGTGCAGCGAGTAGGGAAAAGAGCGGTTCTATTGGCTACCCTCACGAGCGTAATAGCTGGCCAGTTGATCTTCGCTGTCGCCACTCAGTTGCGACTCCAGTCTGGAATGATGATTGGGCGCGTACTTATTGGCTTAGGCGGGGAGATAATTGGCGTCCTAGGAAGTGAAATCACAACGCGCTGGTTCAAGTGAGCTCCGGTTCTACCAAACTCGGGGTGCTGCTAACATATGTTGCTCAGAGACAAGGAACTATCTTTGGCGCTGTCGATGGTTTTGTGCATATCGAGACTAGGCTCCGTCGGAGCTTCCGTTTTCGTCCCCAGAATGGTTGAAAGCTTTGGCGTGGTATGCGTTGTGTGGATCGGGTCGATAGTGCCATTGGGAGTCGCTGTTACTGGTGCTTTTTATCTACTAGCCGTTGACACTACAACTTCGCACCATGAGAGTGAGAACATTGATTCGATAAAATCGCTTCGTCAGTTTCCCGGTGTCTTCTGGCAGTTGGCCTTAATTTGCATACTGTGCTACGGAGGTATCAAGACTTTCACTATCTCTGCGCAGCGGTTCCTAGCCGCATGGTTCTACGATGGAGATCAACGCAAGGCTGGAGTTGCCACAGGGTGAGTCAATTCACTATGACGCTGTCTAAAGCTGACATTGAGCCCATCTAGTATACCATACTTCCTCTCTGGGATTCTGACTCCGGTATTTGGACTGTTGTTGAATTTGCCATGGTTTCGAAGCAACCCGGGGGCCCTTGGTGCCACTAATATCCTCATGATGGCAGCGCATCTTCTATTGCTTTATAGAATAGAACCGATTGGACCGATGTGTATGTTGGGGATAGCGTTTGCATCTTATGGTGTGGTATTTTGGGCCGGGCTCGCGCGATGTCTCCTCTCCATCGTCGAGTCCTGCTCGTCAAAGACAAATATGCCAGAGACCGGTTGCAGAGCTTCAGATGAACTCGAATATGGGACCATTCAACTCCCGACACAGCTCATCGCTCTGATGCTGACGGAGATAACGTGCCGGGGGAAATGGGTGAAGGCATCATCACACTTGGCTATGGAATTATGACCAGTCTCAATAGCCTGAGTACGGCTGTGGTTCCGATCCTCCTCGCCAAGATAGATAATGCCGTGGGCTTTACAGGTTTGGAGATATTCTTTCTCATACTATCATTACTCGGGCTTTTTGCATCTGTTGGGTTGTCATGGTCTTGGAGGATCTAGAAGGAATATATATCATCTAGACTGCTACGTGAGATTCCGTTATCTCTTTGCGTTGCACTACTACTCAAATCTAGTCGCTTCATGTCACAAACGCAACTGTCTACGACCAAGATACTATGGCCTACAATGTTGTATCTGCATGGGCTTATGTAGCCTTTAGAATCCTCGCATTAAGTCATATGTCACCACCACCAACCAACTTTGTGTCAGAACTAGACTAGAGAGAATGTCTCCGAAATCAGGCATTTCACAGGCATAGGCTCAGGCATTTACACATTATGGTGTTGATTATTGAACAGGTAGATATATCGGCACCAAGGCAAGCCTTCTGGAACTTTGTAAACAACATTGATATGGTGTCTGGGGTGATCGGTGAGCTTAAATACCCAGAATAACCTTGTGATCGGCGGCCTTCTCCTCGGGCTCGCCGAAGATATCAACGTTCCAACGAGGCTTGTTGGCAACATAAGGGGTGTTGTAGCGCTTCCGGTTCTGGCCCAGAGCGCTGACCTTCTGAACCTCCTCGGAGGTGAGTTCTATCTCCTTGAAGTTGTCACGAATGCGCGAAGGCGTGACCGACTTAGGGATGACACTGTGTCCACCGACCTGAGACCAGGCGAGACTAGAAGACTGTTAGCTTTCATGGAATGGTACCACAGAGGGGCTGATAAGATCTTACATAACGTGTGCGGGGCTGACTTCCTGGCCAGTGCGCTTTGCAACGGACTCGGCAACTTCCTGGACCTCGGGGCGGGTGATGAGCAGGGGAATATCGAACTGATTGTTACCAAATGCCTAGAGGCTGGGTCAGCATTGGGTTTCTCGGCCATCCACCTAAAGATAGATACATACAGAGTAAGCAGTGACGTGGATTCCCTTCTGTTGGCAGTATTCGATCAGGTCATTGCTCTGAAGCACGGGGTGGCGCTCGATCTGGTTGGTGGCAGGGACGACGCCGGTGGCTTTAATGAGAGCCTCGATCTGCGGGGGTATTAGCTTGCTATGGCGAGTTTGGGAACAGGGAAGGTACGAACATGCTCAATCTTGTGGTTGGAGACACCGACGGAGCGAGCCTTGCTCTTGGGGAGCTGGGTCATGGCTAAGAGGAGTTAGTCGTGTCTGATTTTTGTTCGCACAATATATCCACGTACCCTTCCAGGTGTCCACAATAGAGATACCATCGTCAATGATCACATCACCACCCTCGACGGTGCTGTTGGCAACGAGCGGGAAGTATGAATCGCCCTTCTGAAAGGCAACGGGCCAGTGAACAAGGTAAAGCTTGGTCTGTCAGCCATGTCTCACGGTTCCACTAAATGGGATCATCATACGTCAAGATAATCCAACTCAAGCTCGGCAAGGCAAGCATCCAAAGAGGCCTCGACAACCTCCGGGCGGTGCTGGCTACATGTAGAGTCAATAAATTGGTAGTGTAACAATGGAGTTCGAGATATCGTACGTGTTCCATAGCTTGGAGGTCTGCAAAGTGACACGTCAGTTTGTGAAATCGTGTAACATCCCAAGTTGGTATCGGTTGACTTACAATAAAGATATCCTCCCGCTTCAGACCGGGAACATCTTTATAGGCACGCTTGATGCCCTCGGCGACCTCACGCTGGTTCTGGTAGCTGTAAAAAGGTGGTAACTTGTAAGTATGGTGCAATTGTAATTCATGCCGAAGGGATTGGTGCTGCATACATCGTTGCCAAATCCTGAAGTGCGGGTTAGCCAACAGTCCGAAGCAATGATAGATGGACATATACACACCAGGTGGCGGTAACCAGCCTTCAGGGCCTCATAAACAGCCTCGCCGACCAGGCCAGGGGCAGACTGCCAAGTACCAAATCCTAGCTGGCTGGACGTGGAGTCAGTGAAGTTTCTCGGTATTTTCTACCGAATATACGCACGGGATCTGGTGGCCGGTGTTGAGAGTGACTTTCTTGCCGAGAGACATGATGTTTAAGCGGTTTAAGAATAATTTGGAAGAGAAAGAGGAAGAGAGGAAGATCCCCCAGTCTTTAACTTGTTCAGTTCTCCGGCGGGGCTTCTGGACTGTCCTATCCCCGCCCATCTCGGAGGAGACTCCACCGAGGTAAATGATGGATGTTCGAAGCTGAATAGTATAGAGTATGATAGGAAATTCATTTACGTCCATGTTTGCATGCTCGGCTTATTGAAATGTCTACTGTTATAGCGAATATAGGGTGCGAATATAGAGGATATCCTTGTAACCTACTATATAGTTAGTACACTCTAGACGGTACAGAAGAGAGACCGCGGGGTAAGTTATGATGTCATTCTGTGAATTCCGGGATGGAACTCTTGTGGCTCTCATGTTCTTTTGTGTCGTCCATTTTCTATTACAATTTCTTTTGCATCAGCAGTTTAGTCACCGTGTAGTGTTGGCTATGCTCTCAGATGGTCCAATTGAGCCCGCGATATTACGCTGCGGTGTCACCCGGCCGAGAATGGTACAATATGGCAGTGCTATGTCACCATCGTTTCAGTTTCGAAAACATCGAATCGCATCGAATTCCCTTCATTGTCCTTGAAGGTGTCCACAAAAGCCAGATTGCCCTATATTAAAACTAGTCTACTCCGGGCCCATGAATACCCTCAAAAGTTCGGGATAATTGGGCGCACCCAATCCACTCACTGGATCCCAACCCTCGGTCGCAGAGAAACCATCGGTGTTGCAACCCGGGTTGGTGCCCTTGGTCACGTCAAAGAACGCCTCCGGGTGGGCGTACAATACAGGATTGACAAAGCCAACAGTGGACTTGCCCGCGGCCAGTCGCTCCTCGTTGATGCGCGTGAGGATTCCAGCAAATACCGGTGCAGAGGCCGATGTTCCACCAATCGACACGGCAATGCCCCTGTAATAGATGATGACCTTGTCACCAATAGCAGCAACGTCTGGATAGGCACGTCCGATCCGGTTGTAGATACCGTTATTCTCACCGAAGCTGCTGTTGTCCACGCTCTCATAGTATGGGTATGAGGGCTTGGCCTTGTCAAAGTAATCGGCAACAGCCTGGGCCTGATAGTCAGGCGCCTTGTAAATGTTGCTGAAACCGCCGCCGGACGGGAACCTAGTCACAGCCTGCTCCTTGTGATCTCCTGGCGCGGAACCCGTGGGGATTTCAGTGCCTCCCACCGCAGTAAGGTATGGACAGGAGGCAGGAAAATCCGGAGTAAAGATTCTGCCATCGGGGCCGAGGCAGTTGCTGGGGGTAGGGTCGCCTCCGCGTCCAGCCACACCAGAATCACCCGAAGCGACCACCACTGAAACTCCCATTGTACCCAGCTTCATGAACTCGGCACATTGTCGCCGCTGATAGGAAATCGGGAGGTCTGCTTCGGCGGAGCCATAGGAAATCGAGATGACCTTGGGCGGGTCGTACACCCCACATTGCAGGGAGCCCTTGTAGCCTCCGTCTGCCGGGTCGGGATATGGAGGGTCCAAAGGCGAGATGGTACTGCAGTACGAGCCGTCGATAGCGTCCAAGAACGTGTTGAGGAAGCCATTGAAGGTATAATGATTCTCGTAATGCATATCATCGCTTTGGAAAAGCACGGAGTTCTGCGGCCAGATAATCGGGTAGGAGATTTGGAAGTCCAGGTTGGATTCAGCCCCAGCATTGAAACTGTCCGTAGGAGCCTGGCCACCATCAACCGACTTGAGAGTTGGGTGTGTGCCATGGGGGATTTTCCTGCTAGAAAGTCAGAAATCCAATCAACTGGGAATATAATTCAACGCGACATACGAGTACAAGTTCGAGAAGAACAAATCTAAATCTTCCTGGGCGTAGACATCCCCGGTACTCTCAAAGACTCCCAATTCATTCCCCTTTGTGGCAGAGTGGCCTTCGCTAATGTTATACATCTCTGTAGGCTTGTCAACACATCCAGCTTGTAGGTATTCGTACTCAGATCACTTACGTTGGATGCATTGGGGTGTAACGACTCGGGAGCAAAAGGACGAAGCCTCACTCAACAGCTCCTCAATTGGTATGAGGATCGGCTCAATAATAGGGGGAACCCCATCCACGACGCGTTTCTGCTTCTCAGTCGATCTCCGTACACCAGTCACCTCCCGCAGAGAAATCCCTGGAGTGACATAGTCGACGTGCTCACGCACGGAGCTCGGGAGATGATATCTATAGTCAGGGGTCAGCGAGACTATAGATCCAATCCAAATGATCAATCTTACTCGCGACAGGCCACATGCGACCGGCCCGTTTCAGCATGTGAGTAGATATAGTACTCTGTGTGCAGCAAATTCTCCAGCTCCTTGGCATCGGCATCAAACTGAATCCATTGCTTGTTGGCTGATTGCGTGATGCGGTCTTTTGCAATACCAGTTAATTCCAACCAAGAACGCACGTCATTCACGCTCTTTTCAGTCGGGGCAAAGAGGTCGTGCACTTCCCTGATGGACAGGTGCTGTCCATAGCGGCTCGAGTATGGGTTGGACCTAGACAGATGTCAATTTTGGACGGTGGTAGATTCATTGCGCAAGTCCACACAAGTCCATAAGTAGCTCATGGCCATAGTCGAGGTTAGACTGGGTCAACCCGATTCGCACAGGTAGTGACACATTTCCTTCGAGCTTCTTGCCTTCAACCCAAGATTTTGGAATGAAATCACGACGCTCGTGCAATTGATAATTATGAGCCGTTGGTACTGTCATCGCACTGGCCGACAGGGCACAAAGCACAATGAAAGATCTCATCGTAATAGTCTTAGCAGGAGTTAGCTAATTCAGCTTGCTCCTTCGAACTTACGAATCATGTGGGAAAGACCCGCGTCGGACAATGCATCCTTTATAGCATTCAGGTCGTTCATTTGGACTAAAACCACCCAAGAGGAAGGACAGCCAGTTGATCAACGATGCTAAGACCCCGACAACCAAACAGGGCAAGGATAGAGCTTATCCTGCTTGCCATTAGCCTGTAATGATCTCGCTAAGGGTTGAACATGCCATTCATAACATGATCATACCAAATCAACACCCCTCGGAAGGTTAAGGCGGGTCACACGGGGTCCATATGAAGGGTTGCGTTCTTCGGCATCTTTTCAAAAACCGTGTCGTTACAACCCATCAAGTGGACGAGATACAAGACACTTAGAAACATGTATCTTCGTCTTCGGTCGTGGAGGTTCCATTGGTTTCAAACCTCCGAACATGATCCTAGCAATTACCGATATGAGAACAATGACCTCACGCGAAATTAACAGATCACCGGCGTTGTACCTCGGGAAAAAACTACCCCTGAGAGATTGACTCGCAACCAGCACATGATCAAACGCACAAGGCTTGGACCATTAGACGTCGAATGTCGAATCATAACCAAAAGATTTCCCGTTCTTTGGTGCCGAAATGAGGTCGTTGATACTGTACATTCGGAAATGTTGTGAGAAACTTGAATCGGTTCGGGACCAAGATCAGGCTTAAATCCACTGTTGATGTTAAAGCATCATCTTGCAATTCGGCGGAATTATCGGGGGATACTTGCCCAGGTGGTCAAATGGTAAAAGTCCAGTCTTATGCACTCCACACACTGTGCATCAATTTACGATTTAAAGGATTGGCGGCTATTCCAAAGCCATGGACACTACGGGGGACCATGCGAGTCTTGCATCGCAAATATCATCCATCCACTACACGGCTGCCTAAACTCCGCATATAGGGATGATCTCATGAGTGGTATTGAAGAGTTGATACAGAAGACCACCCAAGGCTGCATAATTGCAACGTCGGTGGCAGAAACACGGTTGCATGTGCCTTTTCCAGGCAGAAGTCATGCGAGCAAAGGATGGAAGCCCTTGGGGTACCTCATGTGCAGGGAACTTTATGTCGGCGGATGGCATTGCCGTCGATGTTCGGGTGCAGGTTATTAGCGGAGAACTGGAGATCAAAATTTGAATGAAGTCCCAGAAATCCCAGAACTAGAGACATAGGCAGACTGTTGCCCGGAAGGTTCAGGTGAAAATGGCGGCACTTCTGCCACATCGGTAAGGGGATGTGGTTGAAAATTCTCAAACTGACGGTTCGACCGCAAGGTCTCTCGTCCATGACGCTGACACGGGTATATTTCAACTGCCGTGCCTTGAGCGCATCAAAAGGCGGCCTCAAACTGACGACGTGATATTCGAGGGCACAATTCCCCTCTCAATCTGAAATAACCAACCATTCAGGATCCACACCATTTCCATAATAAATCCACCAGCTGCTGCCGATGCAAGGGCTTGGCGATGTAATCGTCCATCCCCTTCGCCAGATACGTCTCTGCGTCTCCCTTGAGAGCATTGCCCGTCAACGCAAGGATGGGCATATCGAGTTTCATCCGTCGAATGTGCTCTGTGGCGGTTAATCCGTCCATGACCGGCATGCTGATGTCCATCAGGATGACATTATAGGCCAAAGGCTTCTGCTTGACCATACGCACTGCTTCCGCTCCATCCCAGGCAGCATCGACGCGCTTGAAACCCAGGCTGCTGAGAAGTTTCAACATAATAAGTTGGTTGACCTTGTTGTCTTCGACAAGGAGGATGTGTTTGTGTGGGGCGATCTTCTCGAGCGAGGCGGAATTATCCAATGCCTCAGGTATAGCCGGTTGCAATCTCTGCTTCACTGTAGACACTGGCGAGGTAAGGCGAGCCATTTTGGCTGTCATCCAGAACACACTACCGCGTCCGTCGGGATTGGCATGGAATCCAACCGCTCCACCCATCAATTCAGCCAGGCTCTTGCTTATCGACAGGCCAAGGCCCGTACCCTGGTACCTTTTTGTGGCCGTGTCCGCGAATCGCGTGAAGGGAGTGAAGAGGGTGTTTGTGGCATCTTCGGGTACGCCGATACCAGTGTCCACTACCTGCGTGGAAATTACATACATATCGGGGTCCTTTTCATCGATGGCATAAGTGGCATGAACTCGAACATGACCACTCTCGGTGAATTTGACTGCGTTGGTGACCATATTTTGCAGAACTTGGCGGAATCGCAGCGGGTCACCTTTGAGGTTTGGAGGAAAGCCCGCGCTAACATCGCCCATGATTTCGACACCGGGCTTCAGCGCCGACTGACAATTCCGAACGACAGCCGAGATCACGTCGGGGATGTGGACAACGTCTGTGTTCAAGGGGAAGGTTCCCGACGATAGCTTGGAATAATCTAGGACATCGTTAATGACCTGCAGCAAGATAGATGTTGAGTCTTCCAGGATAGATCCGAATTCCCGCTGGTCATCAGTCAATTCGGTCCTCATTAGCATTGTCAAGGCCAAGAGCATGCCATTCATCGGGGTGCGCAATTCGTGGGACATGTTGGCCAAGAAATCGGACTTGAGCTTGGCGGATTCTTCAAAGGCGTCAATCAAACGGGCCTCTGTCGCCCGGCGTTCAGTCATGTCGCGGGTAACTTTCACGAATCCCACATGGCTGCCGTTCTGATAGATGGCGGTGATCATGACATTGGCCCAAAACCGGTTGCCATCCTTGTGATAACGCCAGCCCTCATCCTCCAGTTTTCCTTCTTGTAAACAGACCTCCAGCTCGCGGACGGGTTTTTTCATTTCGCGGTCATCGCGACCGTAAAAGATGGAGAAATGCTGGCCGATGATCTCGGAGGATGTGTATCCCTTCAGAATAGCGGCGCCCGAATTCCATGTCGCAATATGGCCGCGCGTATCGAGCATGAAAATGGCATAATCCCTCACGGTGTCGACCAAGATTTTGTAAATTTCGTTGGGATAGGCTTCGTCGCTGATGGAATTCGACCGGTGCCGGTGATGTTTGATCCGCTGGGCTTCCAGTAGCATGTAGATCAGCGAGTCATCTTCAAAGATGGGTGTCACGCTAAGTGAGAAGAAGGCGTCGACTTTTGCCACGTGAACACGCTTGATGACCTGCACTTCGCGAGTTGATATGGCAGTGCCGAGGGCACCGATCAGGGAGGCGATATCGGGGGCTGGGAGGATGGAGGGGGAAGATCGTAGACATTCGCTGCCAACAGTTGGTCTCGTGAGTGCTTGAAGACTTCCACATGACTGTTGGACACTTCGACGATTCGCAGAGTGCCGTCTAAAACGAGAGTCGGTTTCCTACAGGGGTTAACGGGAATAATCCATGCTATCCCTCCAAGGGGTTCGGGTTCTCACGGTGTAAATCGATAGATGCGACTCAACGATCCGACAACGGGCTGTTCAAGGGATTTGTTCTCCAGATTCAAGTCACTCTCGGCCGGAGGCGTGATCACCATCGCGACATTGTTCATAGGACAGTCGATTCTCAGGTGGAGCATCTGATCCACAGGCATATTGCTAACAGCCTGGGAGGAAGTGAGGATGTCATTCAAGAAGATTTTCAAAAGCAATAAAGGGATAAGGATCAGGATGATCAGTCCAAAGGGGAAAAGCTGAAGAAAGTCAAGAGGGAAAGTTGGGGTGGACGGGAGAAATGCCCGGGACTGGACTTTTTCCAGTACAATCCAGGCCAAAGGTGGATAAAAGAAGAAAAACAATGTCAACAATGTCCAAATGAGCGAAACTGATGTTCCAAGAAAGGCAATTCGATCTGCTTTGTATATCTGAACTTGTAGAACTTCATGGATATCCCCTAAGGTATATGAAGTGATGTACGTCATTCGTTGTTTCACCACATCGAGGGGCAATGGAACGGAAATAACTCGGTATATTGTGAATGGATGAGGCTCGGAGTATCTGATATATGAACGATATGCTTCTACAAGATCACAGTCTCATGCTCCGTCCGCTCTACCATCTTCACCAACGCATCGGCAATCCCATATGAAAACGCATACCCACCTCCTCCAAACCCATACGCCGAGAGCACCACCCGACTACCCTTTCGCTCCGAATCCAAACGGAACCCTCCTTTTCGGGATGGTCGGATCCCAATAATGTAGCTCACCGTATCTGCAGCTGGGCGTTCGGGGACAATTTCAGGCGCTAACCGATGCGCGCGTGCAATCTCATCCCTCGCGATATCCATATCGACTTCAGGTGACCTAGGGAGGTTAGAGTGGATCGTTTTGGAGATGTGGGGATGTCCATACAGATTATCCTGTTGCTTCACCCCACCCAGGACCACCCCCTTGGATAGAGGCCGAGGAATCACATAGGTATATTCCTTGCCATTTCGGAAGTGAAGTGTGTTGCATTGATCAGTGGCCAGAAACACATTCTGCCCTCGCTCCGGAAAACAGTTATCATCTTGCACATCCGTCAAGGTTTTACTGCCCCAGCCGCTTGCATTGATGAATACCCCTGATTCGGGGAACATGTCATACAGTTCCTGAAGAGACTCGACACGTTGGCGGATAAAGCGACCCCCAAGAGACTCAACCTGTTCTCTGAGATAAGGCATATGTCTCGTAGGATCTGTAACAAGCGTCTCATAGGCCCAGGCACAGTTGAAATTGGGCGGGTATTCACCAGGACTCATCTCGCGGAACTAAACCGGACAGAGGATGTTAATATCAATCAAGCGGGAAGCACATGGAGTACGCATTACCTTGGATACTACTGTCTTACCCCATATCGCCGAGTCAGGAGCAGGTTTTTCTTCGAGGTATTCTCGTGCGTTGACAATGCTCACCCCTGCCTCGGGGCCATCTTGTGCCATCTTGAGTAGTATGCGATGTGTGACAGCTTGAAGATACCGTTGATCCGGAGTAATACCCCCAGCGGCATGCCACGCTGCTCCTGCCCAAGCCGAAGCATAGTAGATATTCTGGTCTCCCGGTAGATATTCGGCCACCAATACCACGGGGAATCCATTCAGCAGCAATTGCCGAGCAGTTGCACAACCAATGATCCCTGCACCGAGGATTATAATGGGTCTTTGAGAAAAGGGCACCTCGTTGGTATGAAATTGGTCGTATTCACCCATCGTGAGGCGGGTATAAGGTTCAAGTGACGAATGATATCAGAGGGGGCTCAGAGGATGGGAAAGGGGTCAGGTCAACAACGTTCAGGGTCTCAAACTTGGGATCCTTCAACGCGGCATTGCTTCTGTTTAGAATTAATCATTCAATTAATTCAATCATTCAATAGCAGAATGATTTTCCACACAATCCAAGCTATATCTCACTCCGGCAATAATTAAGTGGGTCTATAACGGCCTCTTCCGACGTCGCATGCCCGTCAGTCCCTTTTTTTTCCCTTCCTATATCTATTCGTCCCCGTTCTACCCAATCCCATTGAAGAGAACGGAATCCAAGATAGAAGTGATGTGCTAGATCCCCCGATGTCCCTTCTTCATTGGCTATTTTGTTAGCTCGCCCGTGGACATCCCTGTACGGAGTACTCCGTATCTGGAGACACTTCATGCAGCCATCGGTACCTACGGAGTCGTCGGTCTGACATTCGGCTCAAGCCGACTTAAACACTGCACTGGGTTTAGCTGTGGTTCCCTCCCTTTCTCTAGGGGAAGGCTCCTGCAGAGGACCGGGTTCAGGATGGAGAGGGCCGAGAAGAGCCAGGTGAGTGTCCACTTCTAAGTTGATCCAGATATATCATATCCCCCATATATATTGTTATTAACTGTTTCACATCTCAGAAATCCCCTTCAGAGCAAGATAGAATTGACATTCTTCACGATCGGGATGCCGAAAAGATCTTACCCTATGAAGCCGATGATTCGCCTTTTCCCGAGGTGCGGGCTGTCATCCAGCCAGTCAATGACTTGACGCTGCCTGTTAACACGGTCCGCATGTGGACTATTGGTATTTTGTTTACTATCGTGAGTCTTGTGTTTTATGCGACCGGACAATTGGCAAGATAACTAACGTCGGCACAGGTCGGTAGTGGACTGAACCAGTTCTTCAGCTTACGACAGCCCAGTGTGAATATCAGTGCTCTAGTAGCACAGTTACTCGCTTTCCCTCTGGGATGCGCCTGGGCGAAATGGATTCCCCTCGGGGTCTTGAATCCCGACCGGCATTTCAATATCAAGGAGCATGCCTTGATCACAATCATGGCAAACGTCTCTATTGGCTCTGCTGCTGCCACCCAAATTATCGAAGCGCTTGTCAAGTTCTATAACATGCCGTCACAGGGTGGGTTTGAAGTCTTGTTATGTATTACCACGCAATTGTTTGGCTTCGGCTTAGCCGGCATGGCGTCGCGCTGGCTAGTTGGCCCGGCATCGATGATTTGGCCGCAGGTGTTGTCAAATGCCGCACTTTTGACCACTCTCCATTCTCGCTCTAATACCATCGCAGATGGCTGGCAGATCACACGTCTTCGCTTCTTTCTTTATGTGTTCGTCGGTGGTGCCATCTGGTACTTCGTCCCGGGATATCTCTTTACGGGTCTCAGCACCTTCGCCTTCATTTGCTGGATTGTGCCATTCAATGTGGTTGTGAATCAACTCTTTGGACAAACCACCGGACTAGGAATGTCGGTATTGACCTTTGACTGGGCCCAGGTGGTCTATGCCAACCAAAGCCCCCTGCTTGTTCCCTTCTGGGCTGGCCTTAATGTGATGGGATCATTTGCACTCTTCTTTTGGCTTGTGTGCCCCCTCGTTTACTACACCAACACCTGGTATTCCGCACACTTGCCACTGCTCAATTCCAACACCTTCGATAATACTGGAACTCCTTATAACACCAGTCGTATCATGGGCTCGAGCGGGAGGATCGACCAAACTGCGTATCGGAACTATTCGCCCATGTTTTTACCGGCTGGCTACGCAATCACATTTGGGGTTGCCTTTGCTAACTTGACGGGCATCTTCTTCCACATCGCGTTGTATCATGGGAAAGACTTGTGGCAACAATGGAAGGGCACTAGCAAACAAGACGTCCATATTCGACTGATGTCTTCATATCGAGCCGTACCCTGGTGGTGGTTTGCTGCAGTAACTGTCCTGATGTTTGTCTTGAGTATCGTGACCAACGAGGTGTGGCATACGGGTCTACCGGCATGGGGTGTGCTTGTGGCATTCGTGTTACCAGTGGTCTACTTTATCCCTGTGGGAGTCATCAAAGCGCTCACAAATATCAGTAGTAACCAACTGAACCTGCTCACGGAATTCATTGGCGGATATGCATTCCTCGGGCAGCCCGTGGCCAACATGGCTTTCAAATTCTATGGTTATGTCGCCGTCCAGCAAGGACTCGAGTGGGTTACATACCTCCAAAACGGAATTGGCATTGATTAACATCATATTAGATTTGTCGCCGATATGAAGTTGGCTCATTATATGCACATCGCCCCACGCCTTCTGTTTGTAGCCCAAGGCCTTGCCACACTCATCGGAGCTATCGTTCAATGTGGTGTGACAGTGTTCATGATCACAAGAATTGATGGTGTATGCACCCCTGAAGCCCAGGGGAATTTCATCTGCCCTCATGGAAAGGTCACATATTCTTCGTCTCTTATTTGGGGTGAGTTCCATCTTATTGTCGATGTTCTAATGCTCTACCATTCCATAGCTAATCAACCTTCAGGTGCTGTTGGTCCAGGTCGGTTGTTTTCTTCCGGGCAGATATATAGCAATCTGCTTTGGTTTTTCCTGGTCGGACCTGCGGTGGTAGTCATCACCTATCTTCTAGGTCGTCGTTGGAAAGCTGCCAATCACGTCTCCTGGCCCGTCGCTTTTGGTGCAATGAGTCTAGTCCCACCTGCCACAGGTATCAGCTTCTCCTCGTGGTGGATAGTCAACTTGATATTTAATGGCGTACTCCGTCACCGCAAACCCGCGTGGTGGTCGAAATACAGTATGTTCATGGTTTCTCTTTCATCGTTGATTCTTTTGCTGATCGTCCGCAGATTATGTGCTATCCGCCGCGCTAGACTGCGGCGTTGCAGTCGCTACAGTAATCATTTTCTTTTGCATAACTCTTCCAGCTGGTTCGTTGAACTGGTGGGGAAATGCTGTGTCGAAAACCACAGCCGACGGCAAAGGCACGCCCTACATGGGCTTACCAGCGCATGGCTACTTTGGCCCCCCAAAGGGAACTTGGGAGTGATCAGGAATGTTTGCTCGACTTCATTTTAGTGTGTTTCTACCATATATTGCCGTAATTACCGTTTGTTGGGTGGACTTTGCGGTATCGCGTCAGCGGTCGGTGAGATAATTCGATACTCCCCTAAGGTTCGATGCTCCCACAGACATCACCCTCGCCCTTGATTTTTTTAGGACGGGTTCGAATCGATGCTTTGATTCCATCATCAATAGTCAAAATCGGTTTTTTTTATCTCCGAAACCACGATGTCGGTCTCGCTGATAGATAAGACAAGCAGCACCCGTTACGGACAATAGATCGCTTGGGGCACTCATACCATAAAGTCACTCAAAGGATTCTTCGAGCATAACGTGACCCCAAATCGATACAGCTATTTCATTCGCGATTCACCTGTTTTAAGGACTGCCCTTATGTCCGCGACTGGCCGCATATGCGATTTTATCGCCGAAGTCCCGCTGATCAGCGGTATATGTGCTTTGTTTTCGGTGAGGATGAGGTCGCTATCCTACAGGAAGTGTCTGGTCCGTTCTCGATACACCTAGAGAACTTCCGGTTGATTCATTTCCGTCGCCCGGCGTGATATCTCAAAAAAGCGGTTAATTATTCTAAATCCAAAGTTCAAACCCACCGAGACTTTGAAGGATGGCCACCTTGCACCATCAGTGTTTGCTCTAGGTTTACGAAGCCAGAAATCGACTGGCCGCAGTGATAGTAAGGTCGAATTTAATGCACATATACTGTCTACGTGACCAAAATGATGTTATCAACCTAGATGATAAATTGTGTAAGATGGATGGAAGATAATGATAATAACTACTGCCATGAAGCTCCCTAAATAGCTTCATACGAACAAAGCCACAAAGACCTTATCCTCTGGAATCCGGGAGAGGCATCTCTGCAGGACAGATAAAGAAACTGCTAACACAACAGGCTGCCTGCAAGATGAGAGAGAGAAAGAGAACTGCCAAAGAGAGGCCTGCAAACTACATAGGAAATAGTGAAAGCCCTAAATGCATCAGAATCTTTCAGCGCACATTTGAACGAACAAAGTGCCTACAATCTCTCATCCTGAAACAATCATCCTCAACTATATAAAATCGTCACTACTATTCTCTTAGATACATCTTTCCGACTGACCGATCCGCCGTCCTCTAATAGAAACCTATCAGATCGCCCCCAAAATCCTGGTACAACGGGCTCATTGAATGCAGGTACAATTTGTGCATAGCAAGTTCATCAAATGATAAATACATCAAACCATAGCGAGTTGAATGTCTCGCTATGGACGCTGGTAACTGACCGAGAACAAGGAAGAAAAACTATTGTGAAGCACCAACACTGGCTGTCTGAATGGAGAATAATACATGAGCAGCACAAATTATCAAGTATAAGCTTCTCCATCCATATGACCAGTACTACACTGAGCTCGTCCGCGGCCTCACAGGTCATTTGGGTGTCCTTATTTCCATCCAATTGGGAGATGACTGTACGCAATCTCAGGTGCAGCGACAAGCTCATCTTCAGATGGCCAAACAGTCTTTCCTTTTTGTCGCTTCGTCAAATCGGACTTCTCTGGATGGTGTGTTGCTTGAACAAACTCCAGGGTGACTTTGTCCTTCACGTAGCCATGACTAGCCACATGGGTACCCCGAAGAAGTTGATTCTCATCTTTATAGCAGAGAGTAACGTGTAGCCCCAGCGGATCTTTCATTCGTATACCGTTGATGCTTGTGGTAGGGTGGACCTCGGACCTAATATTTCGTTAGAATGTCAAAACGAATAAACCTCGGATGGCTCCAGAAAGAATATAGTATGTGCAGCCTTGAAATCTCAACTTGCCTGATAAGGATTGCTTTGGGATATATTTTTCTATCTCTTGCAGTCTGATAGGGCAAGGTGATCAATTGACGTATACGCTCCTGGGACCCTGGGACCATGCCTTCGTAGAAGTAGTACTTGATCATGTTGATGGTAAACATTCTGTTTGATGGTTTCGGCTTGATCAAATGAAGTAAGAAATAACAAGGCGGGGTTGGGAGACAGTATTGATTTTATCAATCCACGAGAAGATTGAATGAACAATCAAAGTCGCTCTGGAAACTATCTCGCTTTTATGGTGGTTCTGGAGCCCACGCTTGATCCTTCGGTCCTCATTTCGACAGCCAGGGTGAGCTTCCAATCTAACAATAGATCGATAGCCGCTGCCATGGCATTAATATGTAGCAAAGCGTCTAGCGACAGACATTAGTCGAACAGAATCGGGGGTAACTCCACAGCTGGGTCCAACTGAAATAACTCTGCGTCATGCATGAACTGACGATCAAGAACTCGATTGGAGAACACATTCCGAAATTCTCACACCTAGATCCTGGTGCGTACTCCTCACTATTATTGTGGAGCAGTACGTTTTGCTTGACGCCAAGTTCCTCTTTGGGAATCATCTCCCGGAAGAGAGTTATTCCGGTCGACCCGTAGCGCGCGCAACCTCGAACATGAACCTATTATTATCTACGCGCTGAGGAGTAGCTGAGACAAAGCTTGTGTCCCAACCTCGTAATGATTGTTTTCAGATGAGTGGAATTCGGCTCCAGAGCTAGCGCTGTACCATGAGGAATTTAATCTCAACCCGATTTCGGCCTTTCCAAACGCATTTATTGCTTTCTCATCTTCATTCCACTTCCAGCAAAGCCCGACAAACTCAGCATTACCAAAATCAAATTCGCGGCTTTTTCTGCACGGCTGCTCTTATGTCTCACTCTCCCAAAGATGACTCCTCGCATCACCTTTATGAGCCCATCGAAGGAGTGGAAAAACTGGAAAGCTATCGCATAGGAGGATATCACACCGTGACCATCGGCGATCATATTCACAATCGCTATCAGGTGGTTCATAAACTCGGTCACGGCACGTACTCGACGATCTGGCTGGCCCAAGATCAAAAAAATGACAAATACGTCGCCATCAAAGTGTGTACCGCGGATTCGAACCCTCTTGAGTTCAGCGTCCTTTCGGAACTTTCCAACTCGCAACAAAGCTCAACCACTAGCTTAGGAAAAACAATGATACCTTCGGTACTAGATAGATTCGAGATTAAAGGACCGAATGGTACGCACCCTTGTTACGTGACAGTCCCGGCAAGAATGAGTCTCTCCGAGGCAAAAGATGCCTCATATAACCGCCTTTTCCAATTGGAGGTTGCTCGGGCCTTAGCAGCACAGCTAGTCCTTGCAGTTGAGTACGTCCACTCCCAGGGATTTATTCACGGAGATCTTCATGGTGGAAATTTTCTCCTCCGGTTGCCATTTGACCTAAGCCAACTTTCTGTGGAGGATTTGTACAAAAAGTACGGGGAGCCGGAATTCGAAGCAATAAGACCGTTCGATAGTCAACCGCTTCCACCGAATATGCCATCACGGGCCGTTTTACCAATCTGGCTGGGCGAGGCAAGCGACAAACTTAAACTCCCAGAAGCCAAAATCCTACTCAGCGATTTCGGTGAGGCCTTCTCTCCTACCAAGCAACAGAGGTTTGAGTCGCACACCCCGCTTATAGGCCGACCACCAGAGGCTCGGTTCGAACCACACAAGCCTCTGTCCTTCCTATCAGACATCTGGTCACTCGGATGCTCTTTATGGAACATCATAGGTCAAAGCTCACTTTTTGACGGCATGTTTGCGACCGAAGATAGCATCACTTGTGAGCAAGTCGATGCACTAGGTATGCTACCACCGGAATGGTGGTACAAATGGGAGGGGCGACATATCAGATTCACGGAAGATGGAAAGCCGATCAATCGGGACCCTTACCGGTCGTGGGGGGACAGATTTGAACAAGATATGCAGGAACCTCGACGGAGGAAAGGGATGCCGTGCATTCAACCAGCCGAGAGGGATGCGATTTTTAAGATGCTGAAGTCGATGCTTAAATTCAGGCCTGAGAATCGCTCATCTGCAAAGCAAATTCTCGAATGTGGATGGATGGTCAATTGGGCTTTACCTGAGTACGAGAAGATTCGAAGGATATGAGTACTGCAAGCTCTCTGGATTCTCTGTCAATATCTAGGTATACAGGAGTCGAAAATGGTCTTTTGGATACCCTTGCAGATTGGGCTACGGGGGGGTTAGCGTTTATCTTCACATCGTAGCTCATGAATATATCATTTCTCATTTGTCATTTCTCATAATTCAAGACAGGCCATCAAACTTTCACTGACCGTCCGCTCACATAGACTTTCACAATATTCCGGTCATCCCCAGTCATCAGAAACTTCTCAAATATTACCTGGATAGTATCTTCATCTTCAACTGGGCTCATCACTCCTGGTTGGCCAACATCCGTGGTATGAACTTCGAGCGCATCAAACTCTTTGCCAACTGCAAAGTTACCGACACGGTCATCGAGACCACACACTTGCGCACCACCTAGAGTGGCAAGAAAGAAGGCCTCGGGCAACGAAAGCGCAGGGTCCCGTCCTTGGGTCAACTTCTGCTGCGCATTCGACACAATGAAGGCCTGTTTCATGGCATCCAATATAGACGACGAGTAGCCACCACCACTATCAGTGCCCAGGCCCACCTTGATACCGCGACGCAAATACTCTCGCACAGGTGCGACCATAAAATCTTCCATGGTGGTATTGGCGATTGGGCAGTGGGCAACCCCACAGCCAAGTTCTTGGATGCGACGCATCTCTCCTTCCTCTAGAAAGATACAGTGCGCAAGAATAGATCGATTATTCAACAGACCATATCGCTCATAGAGATCAGCTTCCGTATCAAATTCTGGAAAGAGCTGACGCGTGAACTCGATTTCCTGCTTGGCTTCATTGAAATGCGTTTGTATTGGAAGATCGGGATGTTCACGGGCGATGGCACCGACCCCATCCAGTAATTCCGGCTCACAGGATATCGCAAAGCGTGGCGTCAGTATTGGTTTCACCAGGCGGTATTCCGGATCAAGTTTCTGAATATGTCGAATGAGTTCACGTGTTTCGTGCAGTGAGT